ACTGAAAACAGCTGCAGGACTTTTCTCCATGCCAGGGTCTGGGGTCCTTGGGTGATTGAAGGTCTTCCTCGCAAGATTTCTCAGGCAGCAGGGCAGGCAACTATCTAGGGCACTAAAGGAGACAGGTTGGCTCCACAGTCTCCTTCAGCCCTAGGAGTACCAGAGAGGAAGGCCAGTCTGCGAATTTAGGGCCAATTGGCCACTTCAAGGGATTTACAGTTTAAGGTTTAATGGCTTCCCTAATGAGGCTTATAGCTCTCCTGCAATTCACACATTCTATCAAAAGAAAATGAGTTTCAGATTGGGGGGCGGGGACAGGCTTGCAGATGCAGAGCAGAAAGAGTTGGCATTTTCAGCCTAGCAAAAACAAGAAAGTACAATGCTTCTAGCTAGTTTCTTCCATAGCCTTTTGTCCCAGAGAAGGGAGCTCCTTGGAAAGCAGGAAAATTAGGAAGTTCATGAAGTTTTATAAGATGCAATTCTTTTTGAAAGTATACTTTTTTAGCCTAGATAAGGCTGCACATCTACTTTAATTTGGTTCCAAACAATTAAATGCTTTAATTGAACTGTTTCTAAGCAGTGGCTTACTTAGTCATCAATTTTTTCCCAGTATTTCATATTAAGTGTCCCATGGTTGGGCTACCAGAGAAAAATCTCTCTGAATAACATTTAAAGATTCACAAATTTGCTCTGATGATGCTTTAGTTCCTTTAAATAAATTTATTAACTGCTGTGCATGTGTACAAGATTTAGGAGACAGATTTCCATAGTGAAAATGGAAAGATGAATGAGAAAGTGAGAGTTTGAGCACAGTTCCTTGCAATTTGGGCCTGATAAAGGAGAAAAAGAAAGGCAGAAAGTGGATAAAGTTACTGTGTGCATGTACTTCTTGTCGTATCACCTCACTTACCCTGTGTACAGCTGGGAATGCCCAAACATTCCCTTTTTCCTCAGGACTTTTCCAGGTATCTATCCATGAGCACTCTGGCACAAGCTATCAAGGAAAACCTGGCTCTCATTGCCATTCAATTCTATGTGAGACAGAGATAGTCCACATTTTCCTTTTTCTTTAGGACTTACCTGGCAACTGATCTGTGAGATCAGAGTACAGAATTTCTTCCTTACATGGGGCACCACAATGCAGAGTGCCAACATAATAATCATCTGAACAAATAGACTGACTCTTAAACTATGTTTTTAAGAGTGGGCTCGAACTTGGAGGACTCTAGTTCCCCTACCTATTAGAACAGTCTATCTCCCAGAACGGTGCCAATAGACATCTCTTATCCTCTCATCCTGAACAGGTGAAATGGGCTGTGTCCTTACCCTGTGCCAATGGATCTGTCCCCAGAATCCTGTTTTTCCCCACTGTGTCCCCGTCAGGCCAAGCTCATAATTTATTCAAAATGGCTTCCCCAGCTTCATTGGGGAAGTACAAGTTCAAATTCAGCCCCAATTTTAGTCTTAAGTGACCATCTGGCTTTTTCATCCCTAGTATCTCATTCATCCAAGGTCATGCATCCTTTCCCAATCTCCACTGTTGTCCAATGAAGATGGGTGGGTGTGATGCTTGCAGTGCTTTGCTATATTAATTCTCAAGCATATCCACATTCATTCATTATCTTTTTGGGTGGAGTACCAAACTGACGTTGCCAAGATGTTCAGATCCTCATATCCAAGAGTTCATGGTTTTGCTGGGGTTAATTAAAAATCATTAGTCCAGATTATGTCCATTAATAAAAGTCATTTGCAAGAGATGCATCTTAGCTCTGGAATTATTATTGAATGTGTCAATGCTATTGTAATGAAATGCTTCTTCTAATTATATGGTTATTAAATAAACAATTTTTTTAAAATAAACAATTTTTTTAAAAAGTCATTTGCATACTATAGGCCTTTTTCACAAACGCCTCATACTTTCTTGGGACTTAGGTGACTTGGAGGTCCTCATTAACCCTGGCCTCTGAGTATGGTTACTGAACACTCAGAAGATCAGTTATACTAGTATTAAAGAACAAATTGTGGTTTAAAATTTAGCTATTGTATAACACTTAGATAAAACTTGACAGGGACAGGTTTTTAAATAAACTTGACTTAAGACAGAAACTATAAGCGATTATTTTGAAAGAGGGTTGAAAGCATGGGCTCTTTTTCTTTTTTTCTTTTTTTTGTCTTTTTTGAGACAGGGTCTACCTGTAGCCCCAGCTGGCCTTGAACTCACTATGTAGACCAGGCTGGCCTTGAAATCACAGAGATTTGCCTGCCTCTGCCTCTGTCTCTGCCTCTGGAGTGCTGGGATTAAAGGCATGTGCCACCACACCTGGCCTAAGTCATTTAAAAAAAAAATTTTATAGTCTAGGAATAGCAGGGCCTAGAGAATCATCTCTGATGAGGGTGATTATCCACAAGGGTGAAGCTATGCCCTGCAGCAGAAGCCACCATGTCCGTCCAGAGAGCTAGTCTATTTTTCAAGCAACAGAGATCTTTTTCTAGACCTCTTGTAGAATGAGAGTGAGACAACTAACCAGATAACATCTTGACTAGTACAGTTTATCTATCTGGGGAATTTACTGTTGTTCTTTTGTTTTGTTTTAAATTTTTAATTATACTATGAACTAAAAGGAATTTGGGTTAACTTGGTAGAGCTGATTAATGTGCACCATGTAAACATAAAAACACAAGCACATGTAAACAATATGTATACACAGTCATATATAAATTTAAAACATACCAAAGATTTTTGTATGATTTATTTTAGGTTAGTTAGTTGGTTATATCATATTTTAACAGCATTAGCAATTCTTAATCCAATGATTTATAATATAAAGAAGACTTGAATTTTAAGGACATAGAGACTAACCTGATTACTTGATAAGGCTGTTAACAGGCATTAAGAGCTTGTTTTTAACATTTTTTAATCTTTATTCATGATTTTTATGTGTATGTGTATATCTGAGTGAATTTATGTGTACTGTGTACATGTAAGAGCCCCCAGAGACCAGATGAGGATGTCAGATCCTTGAAACTGGAGTTATAGGTGATTAGGAGCTGCCATGTCAGCACTGGGAACTGAACCCAGACCCTCTGCAAGAGTAAAGTGCTCTTACCTACTAAGCCATCTCTCCAGCCCCCAGCTTGGTTTACAAATGACTTGCCTCATCCCAGCTTAAATTAGACAAGAACTTTGAAAAACCTGCCTTTGAAAGAGGACAGCACAAGTAGATAGTGCTCTTGATGTTAGACATTAAAATTTGTCTCAAAAAAATGTTAAGATATCAGTTATTGTAGTTAAATTAATACTGTAAGAAAGAAGTCATTAGGACGCATTTTCAGTACAAAGTGAATCTAAAGCTTATCAGAGAATCACAGAAAAGAGGCATGGGTGGAGGACCCTGTCATCCTTAGATGGCAAATAGCCACTGCTTATCTAGGTGCTCTTAGTTCATCTTAGGGTTGGAAAGTTTCAGACAGTCTGTACATGACTGAGCCCACATTATCAGAAAAAGGAAAGGGAATCCTGAGCTCCAGGATATACATTAGATAAAGCTTTATGTCCTGAACCAATAGGATGGGAAATTGGGGGAAGGGACAGTGCTAGACACCAGGAAGATTGTACCTCCCTAAAGAATTCAGCCAGTGAAAACTAAAGGGGAGAGAAAAATGCAATTAGGGAAATAAAATCCCTCTGCTTCAGTTCCAGGGGAATCCAACACTCATCTGACCTCCTTGAGCACTGCACAACATGGGTGCACTTACATACATGCAGGTAATACACTCATACACACAAAATAAAAATATATATATTTTAAAAACTGTGATTTTTTTTAAAAAGTGTTGGCTGAATGAACTCTGGAATTTTCATGACCCATCTTGAAAAGAAACATAGAGCCCAAGTGCTAATCATAAAGTGATGATGTAAAATTGACTATAAACTCATCTAGAAGGCTTTTATTACTTTTAGAGTCCTCAGGCATGAGTAAGGAATAAACAAGCTGACTCTCTTCTAGATAAATGCTTGGTCTCTTTGCTGTTAGAATTTTTCAGTAACACTATACCACCTCTAATGCACACTTATAGAGAGTGAGCAGGCAGACTTCCTGCTTCTAACAACAGACCCACCAGCTGCACAGGTATCTCTGTGTAGTTCCTTCCACAGATACTCTGAACCTAAGGGGCAAAAGGACTTGTGGATCAGCTATCTTCTGCATGTGTGAAAAACTTGGGACAATGTTTCTGTGTTATTTGTCAATGGTCTGCCCACTTCTGGACAAGAACCCATACTTGATTTCATCTGATAGTGCAAGTGTGGTACTGCTGAAGAAAAACATTGGAAGCTTACACCACTTGCTGGGTTCATTTTGGGCCTTGATGATGGGCACACCATCTTTTCCCTCTGTGAAATGAACATTTGGGCGGGCCATTTCCAAAGTACATCTGGCTCAACTCGTAACCTTTCACCCTGGTCAAAGAGAGGCCTAAGACACATTTCTTCTCTTCTTAACAAGGGTTTTCCATAAACACAAGTAACCAATTTAGTGTATTCTAGTTCCTAAAGATACTGGGTCCAGAAAGGAGCCCAGGTATAACCACTGTGCAGCACTAATGCCCATAGCATGTCACACCAGCAGGAGAGGGTCAGATCCAGGAAGCTGGCAGGCAGGAAGATACCCAAGGAGCGGCCTTATTGGAAGCCAGCCATGGCCACAGTCTCCTGCACTCAGCATTAGAAACTTCTAGTTCTTGGCTGTTTGAACCAATTAATCCATGTCTCGCCCCTGTTCCTACCCCCAATCATGCCTTTGGACTAACATCAATATGTAAGTTTTAAAATATGGCACAAAAAGCTGACTCTACATTTCCTGCCTGACACCCCACCCCGGCCCCCAAGACTATGTGCAATTGTGGCTGCCCAGTGAGTCCCCAGGGAGCCTGTTCAATGCAGCCCTGTTTGCAGGCCTGGCCGCCCAGCACCTCCCCGCCTTTGGTCTCCAGTGGCAGCCTCAGAATGCAGGGAACTGCGCCAAGCCCACACCCAGTCCTCTGGAGGAGGAATAAGAGGCTGCTCTGTATACACTCCTGCCACTCAGGACACTGAAGTCAGAGAGGACACTAGCAGCACGAAAAGGCCAGGAGGTAAGAGCCACTGACTGAGGACTTAGGAAAAAATGTACCCTTGGGGGATGAAGGGACAGGATGGGAACTGAGTTTAAAAAGGCCCTTTGGAGCCCCCAGCATTTCAGAACTACAGATGGCATTCTGTGACTTAAGCCTGATTTGTGACTGTTGTTGACATTGACCGTGTAGCACTAGAGCTACTGTACTGCCCTGGGTTTATTTCCGTAAGTCAGAAAAACCTCAGGTTGAATGACTCAGAATGATGTTTTCAGAGATGGCAGGACCATGGCTGCTTCTCTGACTTCTAAGGGAAGGTTTTTGTTTCCTGTTGTTGGGTTACCCCAAATCCCAAACTAGTATTCTTCCTTCCTCCCAGAGAACCTCCGCTAGGCTTTTCAGTTTCCTATTTGAAGTGCCAGGGTCCTACATCCCCAGACGCCACTCGAAAATTGCAGAATAGTTGAGGTCTTTTCAAATACTTATGAACTGGGACAAGAAATGGGGACTAAGAGTGGGTTTTGAGGTTGGACCCAGTGCACTGGTGCTTACAACTAATTGGTCTCAACCAGTTACAGATTTCTTTGTTCCTTCTCCACACCCAGCCTTCACTCAACCAGCCTTAAAAAAAAAACAAACAAAAAAAAAACAGTGTTGATTCTCCTGTGATACCTTCTCCAAAGAGGGGCAGTCTCTGTGAGGTCCTCTCACCCTACAGGCAAATTCTTTCTAAGAAGCTGGAGTCCTGAGTTTTCTTGTTTTCATTATAAAGAACTAAGGCAAAATGTTCACATGGGCACTTCCATGTTTCTTAGAAGACAAAGTACAAACCAATGTTTCTTAAGTTGAAAGAACAGGAGGCATTTAAAAATTTGTAGCGCAGTTATGAAAAAGAATCACATCTTATAGCATCTCCTAGCTTGTGAGATCTGTAATGCCTTTTCAAGTATTAGTCATTCACAGAAAAATCATTTAACCTCTCCTTCCCTCAGCCATCAGGACTTTGAGAAGCATCAGTATGATACAAAGTTTCTTGAGACTGGTTTTGTCTCGTTTTAAAAGAAAATCGATAATTGAATTGTGTATGAGCAAACATTTGGGGAGTAGAGGCAGGAAGATCACCACTTAGAAGTGAGCCTGGGCCCACTGAGACCTTATGTCAATTTTTTTAAAAAGTCAGGCAATTCTGTTACTGCCATCCCCACTGCTCTTTTCTTTCATTAAAAAAAAAAAAGCAATAGAAAACTAGAGTACAAAGAATAAAAGAGAATGGAATGTTACACTTTTAGTCCATTTGAATTGTTCTACTCATGTAAGACACATCAGATTTTTTGAGACCTATGAACAAAACAAAGTACACTGGCCATTAGTAAAACATTAGCAAAGAGCAGACCAAGATAAAAATCTTAAATCCTGTTTCCTTTGGGAGTTCATTAATAAATAAAGTTACTAACATTTATTCCAAGTTATGACATATTCAACAAAGGAATTTTTCAATCATTTTTATTTTTAAATTTATTTAAAATTATGACAGTGCAGGTTCGTATTTAAAGGTGAGAAGGCAAGGCCAAGATCTGCCAACTGGTTGTTTTGTGAACTGAGTCATTCCCAGGACTGAGTAGTCCTCCTTGCATCCCCATCTCTTAGGCTATGTCTACAGCATGAGGTGCTTAGAGGAAGCTGCTTCCTATTCTTCTGTCATACTTGTTCACAGAGCTGCTGTGAGGCAACAGTGACACATAACAGGAATACTTGGCTGTGACTTCACCTCCTACAGTGCTGTCCCCATGTCAGAACACCAGTAGAATATCAGATGACCTTAAGTACAAGCTTATTTCTGGGAGGTCGTTTCTTTTCTTCCCCACCCCCAAATTAATGCAATTTTACCTTTATTTTCCAGATGAATTTTACAGCTGTCTGTAACCTATCCAAAAAGTCTCATTCATATTTTTATTTAAGTGGCTTAAATTTGTCTATTAATTCAGATGAAAATAAGTTGTTTTATCTTGTTCCTGAGAATCTTTTGGAAGTGCCTGCAGTTTTCTTCCTAACCCTTGACATCTCTACTATAGAGGATATTGTTTACCGTATTTTTCTAATTGTTCACTGATAACTGACTTTTGTGTACTTTCTTGATACTAGTCACCTTAGAATCCTGGTTATGTCCACTAGCTACTGCTTCATCTTGGAGACCTCCAGAATTGGGGGTGGACACCAATCAGTCCTTGAATTCCCTTATGCTCTGCACCTGCATTTTTGCTGAAGTTTTTCATTGGCCAAGCCCAACCAGAAGCCAGTGGTCTTGAAAACTCATCCCTGAGGTTCATAGGGACATAAAAAAGGGGTGGTGGGCCTAGAAGGCAGAGGCAAGAACTTTGGTCAGTGTTCTCCCAGGTCACTCCCAGGGTGCCTGTCCTAGCCAGACCATTCCATCCCTCATCTGAGGTCTGAAGGCAGCATATTAAACTCCTCGTTAAAACAACTTTTAGGATGTCTGAGTTGGAGAAAGCCATGGTGGCCCTTATTGATGTCTTCCATCAGTATTCGGGAAGGGAGGGTGACAAGCACAAGCTGAAGAAATCAGAACTTAAGGAGCTCATCAACAGTGAGCTGTCCCACTTCCTGGAGGTGAGTCTTACAAAATCATCTTTCAAGCTGCCCTGGAAATAGCTCTAGGTCGAGTTTTGTCTTTGGATGCTTGAGTTGCTTTTGGAAGCATGTTTAAACAGCTAATCCCTCAGAGTAACTTAGATGGGCCACCATTTCTATTTCCTGTTTCTACCCTATGAATCTAAGGATCCACAGGCAATAACTGCAGAATCGAATAGTAAACCACACATGATTAACACGTGTCAGCTGGGTTTGGTGGCACACATTTGTATCTCAGCACTTGATGTGGAAGCAGGAGACCAGCCTGGGTTACATAGGATAACCTCTCAAGCAAAACCCAAAACCAAACAAGGCTGGTGAGACAGCTCAGTGGGTAAAAAGCACTTGCCACCAAGCCTGATGACCTGAGTTTGATCCCTGGGAACCATACAGTAGGAAATAACTCCACATATGTGCCATGGCACAAGTACTTGTATACACACACACACACACACACACACACAAATCTTTCAAAACAAAAGGATAAGTTTGGGGGAAAAGAATATCTTTGGGCTTTGTGTAGGTGTTTAGTATTCACCACAGAGATAAGAGATGCCAGATAATCAGTAAATGTTTAATGATCACTCAGTAATTCAATACCATGAAACACACAAGCCCACAGGGCACCCAACCTATTATATTAGTGAGTAGACACTTGAAAGAGGGTAAGAAGGGGCTCTCCAGACACATGACATTACCAGGTAGTCTTTAGTTTGGACCCCACTTATGAAGCCACAGAAGGGCCCCTGACAAGCTCTGTCTTTCCCTGAGTACATATTCTAGCCAATGGTAGAAGCATTCACTTCCTTTCCCACTGTCTACTCTGCCCTTGGATCAGCCACCACTGTCTCTACTGCTCATCAACCAAGTACACTCATGGAAGTGAACTGGAAGCACTGGTAGTATACATGTGTACACATGCCACAAGAAACTTCCTGGGTCATAGAAGTGGCCAACCACACACACAAAAAGTCTTAATTTCTTCATCTTTAGAGAAGAGTATGTATGAATGAAATGAGAATCAAACTCTTCACATATAGCGAAACCTCAACAGACAGTACCTACTATTATTGATTTTAAAACAAGCTTACCATGTAGATACATCTATTAATAGCTCATATATCAAGGTACCATACATGTTTGCTGGTCTGGTTTAACCAAAGTAATTTTGGTTTCGAAGCACATCCACTGTGCCAGCTTTTCATCACTGACAAAAATATAGAGAAAATCAACTAAAAGGAGGAAAGGTTCGATTTGGCTCATGGTTTCAGTCCATGGTTGGCTGGTTCCACAGTTCTGAGATCTGTGGTCCATGGTTGCCTGGATCCACAGTTCTGGGGTCTGTAGTCCATAGTTGGCTGGCTCCACAGTTCTGGGGTCTGTGGTCCATGGTTGGCTAGCTCCACAGGTCTGAGATCTGTGGTCCATGGTTGGCTGGATCCACAGTTCTAGGGTCTGTGGTATGGCTGCCCATCATTCTGAGGAGTAAATCTGCTCACCCGATGCCAGCTGGGAAGCAAAGAAAGGAAGTGGTTGTCCCTGCCTCCCATTAGGCCACATCTCTCAAAGATTCTTCAACCTCTTGGTGGTGCCCAAGGTTGGTAACCAAGCCTCCTACACATGAGCCTTTGGGGGACATTTAAGAGCCAAACTATAGCACCTGTGCTATAACTAGAAGAACTAAACTGCTCCAATTTATCTTTTGCCAGAAGTTTACAGATAGCACCATGACCCCCTGGGAATCACTATCTTTCACCCCTGAATCTTTTGTATTTAGGGAAGCCAGGACAGTTGGCTTCTTCAGACTGTGCTCTCCTGTCCTGAGAGTTTGTAGACTGAGAAACAATCTGTACTGAGGATCTTTAATGCATTCTTCCTCCTTGTTACCAGGCCTGCACTATTTGTGCATCAGTTAGAACCCTCACCATTCATCTGGCTTCAGTGTCAGAACCATGAGGAAAAAGTCTCCTGTAACACCTAAGAAGCAACTCAGGAAGAAACAAGAACATAGAGATCAGCAGCTCTGGGACATGTTCCCAAGTGTTATTTTAGTGAATGTTGAAATCCACTGGATACTTTCTATATGGGAATATGGTTTCCAAATACATGCACACTCAGGAGCACTGAGTTCCTTTTTTCTTTGAAGTTACTGGCTCAGGCTGAGAAAGACTTCACACATTTTTCAGGTGTGTTAAGTGGGGCAACATCTTATATTTTGTTACTTCTTGATTGTTTCCCTATTTTAAAGTAGCCCAGGTCCTACGAGACCACAGGAAGGGGGAGAGACACAGACACCCTCCCCTGGTATTTTTCATTTCCTGGGATTGTCTCTGATGCAAATTATCAGCCAAGCACTTAACATATTGATGGCTCTATATTCCATTTAAAAACAGTTCAAGCAATTTCTGTTTACTCTCTTAGGAAATCAAGGAGCAGGAGGTTGTGGACAAAGTCATGGAAACACTGGATGAAGATGGAGATGGAGAATGTGACTTCCAGGAATTTATGACCTTCATCACCATGGTGACTACAGCCTGCCATGAGTTCTTTGAGCATGAATAAGATAAAGAAAGGAGCCTGGATGTTCCAGTGGCAGAGATGAAGGTCACAAGAAGCAGCAGAGCAAAGGCTTGCAGGCTAGAAGGGGGCTGAGCTTGCTAGCTACACGTATCTAATTAGGAAGCTTGATTTGCTTTGTGAATGAAAAACTGAAACCCTTCCAAAAGGCTGCTTTAAATTAGCACATCGTTATTTCTGTTACACTTGGCATCTGTATGAGCTGACTGGTCCCAGGAACTATTGGTAAGAATTGCTTATGAAAGAAAAGCAATGCTCAGTCATAAAGCATGTGTTGGGATGAAACGAAGCAGCCCACCAACAGCAGTTCTATAGCACACCATCCTTCGTGCTTTCAGTCCACCTACAAATCCACAACTGAGTCTACTGTTACTTCAACAGGCTTCTCTTCCTTACATCTGATCACCATTTGTGCAAATGATACTAAAGAAAGCTAGCTAGTCTGACTACACCCTCCCCACCAGCCCAAATGAGCACAGCCACATTTAAGTCTCTTCTCCCTTGAACTGTGATTCCTAAATATTTAAATGCTAACAGTTCTAAATGGAAAAGTAGGTCTCACAACTAAATACTCAGGCTGAGAATCAAAATTCTATTTAGTAGATTCCTTCTAGGATGATGCTCTGTTGGCCTATAGGACACATATGCAGGAGGAGCGTGACCAGGGTATACAGTCTGCTTTTTTCAGACACTTCTCTAAGTAACATCATCTCCAAAGCTGCCTCTGCTGTCTAAAGAGCAAATGACTATGAGGTTGAGGTCTATAGGATGAGTTACTGGGACTGGAGGGGCTCCTGGATGTTCCCCTTGGCTGCTGCCTGACCCGTTTGTGCTGAGAGCCTGCCTACCACTTGGTGAAGTCGAAAGCCAAGAAATATGGGAGTCTGAACTTGATGCTCTTTTATCGGCATAATTAAATGAAGGTTCAAATAACTAGTTATAAATAAATAAGGAAATAAAATCACATTACAAATATTAAAAGCCATTTCTAGGAAAATTCTAATCTTAACCATCCCTTTTCTTGCATGGATTTTTAAAGGAAAGACCTGGAATGTCATAAGCCAACTGAACACGTTTACTTGCATTAAATTAGAAGAACACTGTAGTAAACTCTCTGTAGCCACTGAACAAAAAATAAAAATAAAATACTTGCTAGGCCAGAAGAAGGAATAAAAGTCCCTTAAGTGGGACTGCTCAGCCCTCACCCATCCTCAGTTATAGCCTAAGGACAGGTGACAGGCAGCTGGAGCTGCAAGAGGCTCGAGGGTGTTCAAAGACTGTGCAGACTCAGACTCTCCGTGACTGGAGGACACTATGCAGGCCACTTCTAACCTAGCTGGGTCATATTTTAGCTTTCCTGTCACTGTGACAGAATGCCTGGCATAACTTCAAGGAAAAAAGATCTAGTTAGTCCATACTTTCCGGGTTTCACTTCATTGAAGAGGGCATGATGGAAGAGCTCACAGTCTACCAGACAAGTAGAGAGAGTAGAAGGGACAGGAGACTAGGTATAACCTTCCAAAGCATGCCCCAGTAACCTACTCTTAGCCAGGCCTCACCTCCTGTGGTGAATTCCAACACATGAACCTGTGGAAAATACTGGGTGGGAGCAGTGCGGTACTGGTACTAAGCTGGACTGCAGGAGGCACATGGTGGGCACTCTGGGCTACCTGAGCTACCAAGGCAAGGATCACGAGCTGCCCACAGGGACTCCTGATGTCCTCTCCTCCCAGTGGTTCACTGCAATCCCCATGGCTACTATACTTTCCATGAAGTCAGGGACATCTGCCTAAGCCTCCTAGACTCCTCTAGAATGGCAGATGTGGTGAGTGCTTCCACTTCAGGAACCATCTCAGGAATATTGCTGATGTAGCTAGAATGGGATCTGAATGTGATGCCAGTGCAAGTTCCCATACTATATATTACCCACTCATGGGTGGACACTAGTGACTATCTGGTAAGCATGCATATCTGGCAGGGGGTGGGGTAGCCTACACCCTGTCCTTTGGTGAGCAGTGGTCCAGCCTCACAGAGGCACATGAGCCAATCTTGCTGAGGAGTTGTATCCCCTAGCCTGGCACTCAGGGAGATGCTCTAAGTTGGCCAAGTTTCTGTAGGGGTTCTGGGGTCCTCTCCAAACTTCTGTAGGCAAAGCAGAGCAGAACAGCCCAGAGAGGAAACTCCAGTCTACTGAGGTCCTCATAGTGCCTGTCCCTGGAAAGAGGCCCACAAGTGGTGTGGGCACCAGAAACAGCCAAGCAGGAGAGGACAGCTCTGGGTCTATCCCCAGGTCAGTGACAGTGCTAGAGGGGTTTCCAGTAGGGTAGACCCATGCCTTGCTGAAGCTTTAGGAGGATGTAAGGATAGTGCAAGTAACATGGGAGGGTTAGAGACAGTAACTGCAATGGGAAAACTTAAGATGGGAGTGGAGATGGGCCCATCTGGGAATGGCTTAGGAGGACTCCAGTACCAGTGCGAGTAGATCTGTGGCCCTAGCTGGCTACAAACGTGGCTGTACAAACACCTCTAAGACACTACCTTCAATTCTTTGTGATACATACCAAGAAATGCCATTACTCAAATGTGATGGTTTTAAATATTTTGAGAAACTGTCATACTATTTTATATTCCCATCATCAGTTCACAGAAATTCCTACTCCTCCTTAAGGGCATTGGAGGGGTGCCCTTGGAGTGGCACCCACCCCTTCTCGTTCTTGTCTTAGCCATGAGGTGAATGGTTTTGCTCCCCTTCATGCTTCTGTCAGTAATGTGCTACCTCAGAAGGGGCCAGAAGAGCAGGGCCAATTGGTTCAGTACTAAAACTTCCAAAACTGTGAGCCAAGGAAGATTAGGCACCAAGAGTATAGAGACTTATGTGGCTTAAAAAGGTTTGAGGACCTCCAGATGAGACAATGAAAAGAATTCAGAATTCAACTGACAGCAAAAAGAGTGAGTTCAGAAGCTTCCAGAGCCAGAAGCAAAGCAACACAGGCTTGAAGACTATGCTGGTTCTACTAATGTGGAGTTTGTGGCAGAAGCCACATGCGCTCTGGGTTGCTACTGTGTCAGGAGAATGTGAGACTTCCAGCATAGACAGTTGTTAGCTGCCATGTGGGTGCTGGGAATCAAACCTAGGTCCTCTGGAAAAGCAGCAAGTACTGTTAACCACTGAACCATCTCTTCAGCGCCCTATGATATATATGACATATATCATATATGATATATAAAATCCACACAGTTTGTGGCCTAATATGGAGTCTATTCTAGAAAATACCTCCTGTGCACTTAAGAATGTGTTTATGGGGGCTAGAGAGATGGCTCAGTGGTTAAGGACACTGGTTGTTCTTGCAGAAGACACAGGTTCAAATCCTAGCACCCACATGGCAGCTAACAACTGTCCGTAACTCCAGTTCCAGGGGATCCGACAGCCTCTTCTGTCATCCGTGGGCAATGCACAACACAGGTGCACTTATCTACATGCAGGCAATACACATATACACATAAAATAAAAATAATAGGGGCTGGAGTTCCCAGCACCCACATGGTGGCTACAAACCATCCTTATCTCCAGTTTCAGGGGAATCCAAAGCCCTCTTCTGACCTCCACGACATTGCACAACATGGGTGCACTCACATACATGCAGGCAATACACTCATAAAGATAAAATAAAAATAGTAAATAAAATATTAAAAAATAATAAATTAAAAAATATTTAAAAAAGAATGTGTTTCTGTTGTGTTGGGTGTTCTGTACACGCCTTTGGGATTTATTTGATTCATGTGTGATTGAAGCCGTCTGCTTCCATATTTTCATTATGGGACTTTGACGTCTCTACCGCTGTTCTATCCTCTCTCCTTCCAGTTCTTTCAGCTTTGTTTCATGGACTTTGATAGTCTGTCAGGGTAGATATTTTTAATTGTTACTCTTGCTGTACCAAACCTTTCATTAATATATAGCATCCTTCTTTGTAACATTTTTTGAATTTAGGATCTATTTTTTCTGACATTCATACAGACATCCCTACTCTTTCTGGCTACTAGCACCATGGGCTACCTCTCCTTATTCTTTCACTCTCAATGTGTTTGTGTTTTAGATCTAAAGTGAGCCAATATACTTAGATGAATCATATTTTTAAAAAATCCATTCTAGGTTGGGGATTTAGCTCAGTGGTAGAGCGCTTGCCTAGCAAGCGCAAGGCCCTGGGTTTGGTCCTCAGCTCCAAAAAAAAAAAAAGACAAAATAACAAAAAATACATTCTGCCCATCTCTGTATTTTGGACAGTTTAATCTATTTACATATGATTGTAATGACTTCTGTTATTTTGCCATTTGTTTTCTACTAGAGCTTCCCCCTTATTTCATGTGATACTGCCTTTTTTTTTTTCCAGTTTAGCTGATCTCCTGAACTAGAGTGTTCAAATCTCTTACTTCCTTTAGGGTATATTTCATAGCTATTTTTGTTTTTTTACAGAATTACCAGTAAACTTCTAATGTTACAACTTAAATTTTACCAGATTAAAAATTTCAGTTCTAGCAATAGTTCAGACTCTACCCTTCCACTGTTTATACCACAAAATTATACTTTTATACATTATAACCAAAACAAACAATGTATAAAGAAATAATAGTTTTTGAAATGTTTTGGCTACTTAAATTATACAGAAAATAAATTCAAAGATTCAAAACATACAACACTAGCTTTTTAATAATGTTTTAAATGTACTGATCTCTTTTTCTTTGCATGTGTATGTATTGGTGGTATGCATGCATGTGTTCATGTGTGTATGTGGGAGGTACATGTGTGGAGGCCAGAGGTTCATATCAGGTGTCTTCTTTGATTGCCCTCCATGTTATACATTGAGGTAGGGTCTTGCAATGAACCTGGAGCTCACTGACTCCTGTAGCTTAGCTAGCCAGTTTCAGGGATTCTATTTCTACCTCCCAAGTGCTGAGATAGGTAGATTACCACATCTGCCCAGCATTTACATGGAGATCCTAATTTGAGTTCTCATGTTTGTGCAGCAAGCACTTTACCCACTGGGCCAACTCTCCAGCCTCTAATCTCTGAAATCATGTAGAAAATAGTTATAGGCCACTGCTACACTGATACCAATGTCTATAACAGCCCATATAGTACTGCTACTGAAATATATTTCCTCAATGGCTTTAAGTTACTATCCAGTGTTCCCTCACTCTACAGAACTCTGGCAGGTCTAGTGGGAAGGAACCCCCTCAGCATTTGTTTAATTTTTTTTCTTTTAGCATTTAATACATCAGCCCACTGCCTTCTGGAATTTAGTTTCTGATGAAAAATCTATTGAAGATCTCTTATTTATGACAAAATGTTTCCCTCTTGTTACCTTCAAGATTCTCCTTCCTTAGGCTTTCAAGTGTTTCAGTCTAATGTATTTCTATGTGGTCTTGAGTTTATCTTACTTGAAGCTCTTTGGCCTCTTGTGTAGTTTATATTCATGTCTTTCATCAAATCTGGGGCACCTCAGCCCTTGTTCTGCTTGACAGCATCTCAGGAGTCCCTTAGGCTTCATTTAATTTTCTTCCATTTTTTATTTTTTCCTTCATATTCTGTCTTCAAGTTTGCTGAGTCTTTTCTTCTGCTGGTTCAAACCTGCCATTGATCTCCTAGTGAATTTATCAATTCAGTTATTGTGCTTTTCAGCTCCAGAATTTCTTCCATGGTTACCTGCATAGATACTTCTTCAAGGATCTCAAAGACAAATTATTTGTAAGAAGTAAAAATGTAAAAACAATTAGTTTTGAAAATTTACATATAGTTACTTTAAAAATAATTATCTGGCTGGGCGTGGTGGCGCACACCTTTAAGCCCAGCAGTTGGGAGGCAGAGGCAGGCGGATCTCTGTGAGTTCAAGGCCAGCCTGGTCTACATAGTGAGTTCCAGCACAGCTGGGGCTACAGGGAGACCCTGTCTCAAAAAGACCAAAAAAAAAAAAATTATCTGTTAAAGAAACTGAACATTACACTGGAGGAGAAAAGCTGTGAATAGTGTTATAGCAGTCACTGCATTCAGTTTAACAAGGAAATTCTCTAGTCCTTAACTGTTCAAAACTTGTGTAAAGTGATCAAATAGAAGAGAATGATTTTTCCCAAACAACATGAACACAATTTTCTGACAATGTTTACTGTTAGTAGGGCACAGAGTCATCGGAAGCTCTCTGCTTTCCTTCAGAACATTCAAGGCGGCTGGTTCTGGGAAGGAACTAAACAAACACCGGAAGAAAGTTACTCCTCCGTCATATGCTGCTGTCTCATAGGCTCACATTGAGCACTCCAGGGAAACCACTTCTGAAATCAAGGGAACAGATTCATATTTAAATTAAGTACAACTCACTACAGTTAAAAATACCAGAATTAAAGTACATAGAATCAAGTTTGTTTGTTTTTTTTTAAGTTAACTCTAGGAAGGTTATTACTCCAGACATAAAATGGCTCCTACAAATCAGTAAGAAAAACCTTGAAGCTAGAGATGGCTCAACGGTTAAGAGCACTGGCTCTTGCAGAGGACCCAGGTTCAATTCCTGGCATCCTCATAACCACAACTGTCTTAACTCCAGTTCCAGAGGATCTGATGCCCTCTTCTGACCTCCATGGGCATTGCACAACACAGGTGCACCCTAACTACATTCAGGCAATACACTCAAACACATAAAAGATAATAAAAGTAAAATAAAATAAAACTAAAAAATCTTGAGCCCAACAGATCTACTAGATCTGAAGAGAACAAATCAACTGAGAAATTAAAATGTCCATTGAAAACATATTCAACATCACCAGACTAACTTCATTCTAAAGCAAAAGTCCACTATCAGTACTGCTGAGCAGCACTTCTGCGGGTAATAAGTAGGCAATACTTATCTAGGTATTGCCCCTATGACAAACTCTGATTCAGCGATGCCACCTGTAGGAACTAAGCCTAGGCAGGAATGCCACCGTGGACGTGAAAGTAGGCATTTGGGAGGTGGCCTGCTGAGCAATCCTGAAATGGCGCTGGTGCAGGAGCCTAGGGGGGAGTGGCATGCAGCTGTGCACACTGTACAATGTTGTCATTAAGACATGTAAAGAATGGATGTAACAGATTCAAAACTCTGTATTAAGTACAAAAGCAGATTTTTAAAAGTATATGATCCTAATTTTGTAAAAATTTTTAAAAGGCTAAAAATAAATCCCTGAGGTTTTAAAATTTTCTTTCTTAAACTTTAATGTGCTTTCTAGATTTTATATGATAAGCATAATTGCTTTTATATTTTTAAAGAAATGGTGCATAAGAAAACACATCTTATTTGGGGAAAATCTTAAACCTTTCACACATTTCAAAATGCAGAATTATAAACAGTCAATAGCTTTTATTAACATGATATAAAAAAAAATTAGTGTGGTATACAGAATTCCCAGAGAGTAACTTTAAAACATTTTAATGCGCTTCCTAAAATCTTAACTTACCAGTTATGTTGTCTTACTGTCACTGACATTTTAATACAAAAGTTTACAAGTTTCGCTTGATATAAAACTACAACATTGAGACTGGAGTTAGGTAGTTCTGTTCCCTTCTCAGTCACTGTGTTGTGAAGAATCTCTATCAGTTTGCTGCTAAACCTCTGATACAAAGTAATAAGTTACATGAATTCTGTACATAATTACAACAAGATTATTAGAATTCCAGTATGTTGCAACATACTATACCACAGTCTGACACCATGAGCAAACACGGCTACTGCACATAGTGCTTTCTGAAAGCAAGAAGTTAGAGTTGGCCGTTAGCTAGACTCACTGTGGGGAACAGCTTGTGAGGCACAGATCTAGGCTAACTCTAGAAAACCCTAGCTGTTTCTATAAAGCAGGTATGATTCATAAACTTCTCGACCCTCAAAAGTCCCCAAACCCCAACAACTTCATAACATACTCTTTAATTATATAAAAATAATCTTAGATTCATGCTTGACTTCAAATTCTTCAAAGTATCTAAAGGATTTTACATTCTCATTTGTGATTTAGAATCAGCATAATATTAGATCACTCAGATTATACGTTTGAATAAAATAACTAAAAATGGTTTGGCCAAATTTTATAGGCACATAACCATGCAAAGCCAGTGAGACTGCGGCCGTGGTGGTCTGAGGCCGTCGGCTCCCACAGCTACTAGACTGCGAGGCCATCGGCTCCCACAGCTACTAGGCTGCCCCCTCCAGTGAGTAGGAGGCCCAGATGGCACACAGGTGAGAAGGTCTTATATTTCCACCAATGCTTACAGATCTGTTCATAAAAATAATTCAGTATATTTCACCAATGCTTACAGATCTGTTCATAAAAATAATTCAGTATATTTCATGAGAAGAATTAATATTTTGATGCCATGAAAACCTGCAGTTTAAGCAGCATTAAGTTACAGCCTAGGAAAGTGATTTTTATATTAAATGCTGGTTTATCTTTCTGAAACAGGATCTAACTGAACAGTCCAAAATGGCACTTATTGAATATGAGTAATAACATATGCAAACAACCAGGCACACCTGTTTCAATAACCAAACTACCAAAAGGAAACTCAGTGTGGCTGCAATGCAGTCCAGTCTGAGTGGGATGAGGGGGGATTGCCCTTCCATCAGCCTTACTAGGCAGGCTTGGCCCAAAAGTTCTCTCCAGCATAGACTCTACATATGAACTTGTTACTACGAGTGGGAGAAAATAATCAGAAATTATATTTAGAAATTATAATTAGAAATAAGAAATATTTTTAGCCTAAAAAAAGTGCAAGCTCGCAGTACAGCAGATAACAGCCATGATGCCAACAACACTACAGTGTGACACCATGCCTCTCCTTTCCTTCCTAGTCACCCATATTTTGGTAAATACACTTGGCAGACCCAAGACATGTCTTTAGTTGATTTAGGAAGCATGTGCTAACACAATAGTCAGGGTACTGCTGAAAGTGTCTGAAAAGCACAGGAAGGGGTGAGCTGCTGCGAAGTTTGGAACCCCTTCTCCTAGGGATGGAGACAGTGCAGCTCATCCTCGTCTTATACCTCTGCTGGTTTGTATACCAAGCTCTGCTGGGCTGCACTCACATATTGTAGGCCACATAGATGGGGTCCAGCTGGTCAGCCAGGAAGCCATCTCGCAGGTGCATGCGTTGCTTCTCACCACGAGAGTTGATGGGGATCACACCAGGATCCACGATGACCACTACACCTACCACAAGGTAGTGTTCCTCTAGCACAACATTGGTCACCAGGGCTACCAGGTCCAGGGCATCCTGCTCCAGACCATCCAGCTCCACCACCACCACCAGCAGATTGGTCCAGGTGAACACAGCACTGCAGGAGGACAGACAGTCATAGGGATGGACAGCACTGGAAGCAAGCAGATACTTGGGAAAGGGTGCCATAGACTGTGAAAACACTGGCTTACATTCACTGCAATATTTAATGCCAGACTAAATGTGTCTTATAGAAATATCTTTTCTAAAGTTCTTATAAGAATCAAGAACATTCAGCACTTGATATTGAAAGCTGTATTTGTCTCAGGGCAAACTCCCTACAGAGTGAAGAAATCATGAGTCACAGCCGTTTAAATCAAGAAAATTACATTTAAGCTAGAAACACTTCAGAATGAGAATAGGGTAATCTTAGGTTTTACCTGTACATTGAAGACAGTCTTGTGATTTAAAACTGACCAGGAAAAGGAAAGCAAAGACAGAGAAACATGTTCTGGTGCTGTTTTGTAGAAACACATCTAGGAGAATGTGTAAGAAGTCCAAGTCCTTCTATCTATCATGGACATCCAGCTCACTGAGATTGACTGTGTGGGGACCTGTGCTCAGGGCACCACAGTGCCTGGTGCTGCCCTTGTGTGCAGTGCTCATGCCTAAAGACAGGCTGGGCAGGAAATCCTTTCATCAGCTCTTACCATTCTGCAATGCTCCTGTGTGCACGGATCACAGAGGTTTCTATGTCGATGGGGTGGTACCGCATGCCTCTCAGCTCTAGCGTTTCATCCAGAGACCCAACAACATATAGCGCATCATGTCGCTCTGTGAACGTGTATATGCACATGCTCAGGAGGCAGGTCACACAGTGAGTCTGCCCAACTTCCGTGTATGAGCCCCACTACTTGCCCTATACCACAAGGAGGTCAATTATACCAACACCCTTTGATATCTGTGCCTCAAGCAAAGAGGGCTAATGGACATGTCAACAATTTAGTATCACCCATGCAGTGGTTGACAACCCCATCAGTGACAGCAGAGTATGTTAGTACATGGTTTATTTTGGTCTTTTTTTGAGACAGGGTCTCCCTGTAGCCCCAGGTGGCCTGGAACTCAGAGACCCGTCTGCCTCTGCCTTCCGAATGCTGGGATTAAAGGGTGTACCACTATGCTCAGCTCATTAGTATACGGTTTTTTGGTTTTTGGGTTTTGGTGGAGTTTTTTTGTCTTTTTTGAGACAGGGTCTCCTTGTAGCCCCAGCTGTCCTAGAACTCACTATGTAGGCCAGGGTGGCCTCGAACTCACAAAGATCCGCCTGCCTCTACCTCCCGAGTGCTGGGATTAAAGGCGTGGCCACCATGCCCAGCCTAGTATATGTTTTAAAATAACTTTAGTTATAAAAAATAGAATAGCAACTACAGGCTACAAAAACTCTGGCTGGAGTTGATAGGCTTGCAGAAGCCAGACCTTTGGGCAATGGTCAAAATTTGTCCTCATCAGGGCGGAGAGGACACCACATATGGCTAAAGAGCCATGCAGAGCACACTATGCTGACAAAAACATAGTTTCTGGAAAGGCTATGCCACCTGGGGAAGAACGTCACAGCTTATAGCCAACAGCTGCTTCCACCCTCACTATATCCTCTGCAGAGATCAAGAGTCCAAGCTGGAGAGGGGCAGCTATCGAAGAAAAACTGTAACATTCAGAGAAAAGCACCATTGGAGCCTGCTCTTCACCCCACATTGAACAACATAAATTATAGCAAAGGGGGGAGCAGCAGATAATTGAGGGCCCCCACAGCCTAGAAGGCCAGGTTTGCAGATTATAGCAACAGAGCCCCCAACCCCTCCACCAAGGCACTCTCACCTCCACTGGCATCAGTCAGCTCTGTTCTGCGAAGAAAGCCAAGGTATCCAGTCCTTGCCCAAATGGTCTGGGTATCTCCGAAGCTCAGCCGGGCATTGAAGTGGTCGGCATGAAGCGCCTCCTCCCCATAGACTGTGTAGTACCCAGTGGCATTATGGGGACTGCTCACCCAGATCTGGGGGAGGGGAGTTCCAGAGAACAGGCACCTTGACACACTGCAAACTACTAGGTATTGATTCTGTCCTAAGCCTAATATCCCAGGATGATCTCAAAATATCAAGGAACAGAGGGAGATAACATTTCCAATGCCTTATTTTATAAAGTAACAATTATAAACACAGAAAGCAAACTTAACTACTATTATTTCTTTTTTTGACACAGGATCTTGCCTCCAATTAATGATCTTCCTGTCTTAACCTCCAGATTTCTGGGACTATAGATATGTGTTACCATGCTTAGTATAAACACAATCTCTTCCAAAACAAACTGTTCCTTTGTCCCAGGAGTGATATCTGAATGGCTCTGCCCTGTATGGATGGGTTCCCACATCCCATGTATCAAATGCAAGTGACAGTGAGAGAATGCCTGATGTCCACAATGTGAACAGATTAAGGGAGTGAGGGACACTAGAATAGAGAATGCTATCCATGAGTGATGGGCCACTTGCCCACTGCCTATGAGTGAGGAGCCCCACCTGCCCACTGCCTGTGAATGAGGGACTCCACTTGCCCACTGCTTATGAGGGGGTCTCACCTGCCCACTTCCCATAAGTGAAGGACTCCACCCACCCACTACAAATGTGTGAGGGGTACTACCTACCTACTGTCCGTGACTCTACCTGCCCACTGCCTATGAATAAGGGTCCTCATCTGCCCACTGCCAATGAATGAGCAATACCACCTACCTACTATAGAAGTGAGAGGCTCTCCTGCCCAGTGCCCATAAGGCATGCTATCTGCCTAACTGCCTGTGTGTGAGAGGCCCCACATGCCTATAACAGGCTCTGTATGCCACAGTTGCCTCTTATATGACTGAATCCTCAGGTCAGCAAAGACCCTGGCCCTGAAAGAGTCCTGTGTGGCCTTGAACTGAAGCCAGTCTTTGGGCTTAGCCTTAGCCCTGATGAGAAACCAATTTCAAGGAGTAGCTGAATCGTTCTTCCCAGGGCAGCTGTTCCCGTTTCCTGTGCTGCTGATGGTTTCACGTAGCTCTTCTGGAATTCCAATACTCTTACAACTTTGTTGGTGGGGTGACCAATGGAGAAGGCTTTTGCCTTTCATTCCCTGAAACCCTACACAGTAGCATGGTCTTGAAGTACAAGTGATAGTGGAAAAAAGACAATTTGGGTGCTTTTCCAAAGAACGTGTGTTAGGGTCTCTGCACGCAAGTCAGGTGGCCCACAACTACCTCTAACTCCAGCTCCAAGGGATCCGACGTCTCTTGGCTTTTGAAGGTACTTGCACTCACATGTACATATGGAACCCAAAAAGTTTAAAATTCCTGAATCTAGGACAGGAAGGGAAGAGGAGGAAGCCAGGGTCGTCTATAGAGGGCTCTTATACCTCTGGAGCTCATAGCTAGCCCCAGGCAGCACTTACCTCACCCAGGTGTGAGTCACCAAGGGGCCCTTTGGTCTCAGTGTGTGCAATGATGACCTTCACTCCAGGGAGGATCTAGAAGGAGGAGAGCTGTTAAAGGTCCTGGTCAGAAGCTAGAGAGATGGCTCAGCAGTTAAGAGCATAGCTGCTCTTGCAGAGGACCCAGGTTCAATTCCCAGCACCCACATGGCAGCTAACAGTTGTCCGTAGCTCTAGTTCCAGGGGATCCAATGACCTCTTCTGACCTCCACGGGCACTGCACAACACGGGTGCACTTAAACACATGCAGGCAATACACTCATACACATAAAAATAAAAATAATAAATATTTAAAGGTCTTGTCAAAGCAAACTTTGGATTCAGTAGTACTGAAAACATTTTGTTTCTCATATACCTTTCCTCAAATGTCCCTGAGGCTACAGAAGCTGGTCAGCAGGACTGACTACAGGTTCAGAAGTTTAGAAGTTGCTCTAAATTTGAATTTAAAAAGAAGAGACATTAACAGAAATAAGCTGTAAATCTAAACAAGACTGACCAGTTCCAAAGAATGGAGCCTCTATTATTTATTGGGAGGGCATTCTCGGGCTTTCACAAAGTCTGAGGACCCTCCATCTACACTGCAGGTATGGGCCTCTGCAGGTCAAATGTATTTCCTTCCAGCCTGCTCTCTCACCAGGCATCTGTCAATAGGGAAGTCCTGCACCTGTAACCTACTCTGTGCCAACTTAGGCAGTCTAGAGGCCATGTACCCTGCTCAGTTTTCCACAGCCAATTCTAGTAGCTCCTCCCTGGGCTTGGGTCAGATCACCTTGCTGCAAAAGCCTGACCACCTGCTCTGTGTCTTCAGTATCCCTGCGATCGAAATAGGGGATGATAATGGGAACCTCAGGAAAGTGGAGGGGATGCAGGAAAACATGAATCCACAGTAGATGCTAGGCCTCTCTGCTCTGCCCTGCTGGGTTGTTGTGTCTCCCAATACACTGACAGAACTTTCTGTCTCTGTCTCTCTCTCTCTGTCTCTCTCTCTCTGTCTCTCTCTCTCTCTCTCTCGTGTGTGTGTGTGTGTGTGTGTGTGTGTGTGTGTGTGTGTGTGTGTGTGTGTGTTTGTATCCCAGATGAATGCTGAAACCAAAGCTTGTCTTTCTAGAACATAGATCCATCAATTCCATGTTACTCCTGCAAAGGGTGTGTATAAAATAATCATTGTGGCAGAACTTCCGATCAGCCACAGTCATGTAGGTCTCTGTAATTTCCCCTTTTCTTCTTCATGCCTTTCTTACTAAACATGCTTACTTTAAGGCGTTGGGCTGCCTAGTATCTTGTCTTTCTTCACTTTTTTCTCTAACGCTTCCTTCACACAGCCATGTGGCTGCCAGTCAGCCACATATCTGACCTCCCATGCAGGCTCTAAACCTTCATGGCTCCATGGCTTTCTTTCCTTCTTCCCATCATTCACCTTCTCAAGGCAGCTGCCAAGATTACCAGCTTGCTTGCCCTGAGGATTTTTCTTTAAGATTCTAATAAAATTGTAAAAGCTTCAAAAAAAATTCATTGTGCATCCTTATATGATACAGTGGGTAGGTATAGGCACCAAGAGGACTCCTGAAGGTAGTGACAAAGGGAAAATATGCCAAATCGGTGTCTCTGGGCACCTCTCTGCCTTCCGAAAGGCAGCTGTGGCCATGGTAGTAGCCAGTGGAGTTGGGGGTGGCTAAGCTCTATTTCCTGCATCTGCAGCTATAAAGTATATATAGAACCAGTTCTGGGAGTTCCCAATGACCCTGACTGAAAAGGCTGCTGTGCAGGGGGGCAGGCAGCATATGCCTATCTAACTCTCCCTGCCTAGCTATTCTTCCTTTGACCCCTCACTGCTTCCAGGTATGCCTGTCCTCTAGGGTGTGCTCTGCTGACTCCATAGTAGCTCACAGTTTCTATGTGGGCATCCATAGGCAAACTCAGTCCCTCATGCCCTTTGTGGCATCACCAGGCTTGGACTGGCTTTGATGGTCAATATCTTCTTCTCTACTGTTACCCTGGATCAAGGCACAAGTTCTTCTCATCCTTATCCAGGATCAGGGCCACCCCTTGTAACTAGAAATTTGAGGGCCCTTGCTCCATGGCCTAACCCCTCATGTCTGCACAGTGGCAGTTCCTTCTGTTTCTGGACCTGGGTTCTCCATCTATCAATTCTGAGCTTTGACTATTTAAGATTTAATCTCACATATCTAGGCTTCTTCCAGGGCCTATCCCATTCCCCAGAAGGTACCACGTTTACTAGGAGCATGCATCCCGGCACTGCCCATACCAAGAGGTATGATAGTCCAGCTCCTAGTACCTTTCCAGATTCCATCAATGGCAGACTATGTGGAGAACCCCGTTCTACCAAACGGACCCTGAAAATTAACCAGGAAAAAAATATTTCAGAAAATTCACTACATAGTAATTTCTAAAAACACAAATCACAAAGTAATTAGAAGCTGATCATCACACTTTAGGGACTGTCTGTTGCCACAAATGTCTTGGTCAGTGACTTGGGTGCTCTGGGGAACATCAACAACTCCTGTAGCATAGGACAGCATGGAAAATCCACAGGCTCTTCACCCACCACGTGTGCTCATGGCAGGAGCTAGCTCCACATTTCTTTTAGGCTCTCCTCAAACTGTCCAGCCACACTGCAGCATGGCCATGTGTGAGGATCTATCATTGAGAGATCAAAGAGTCACAACGGGGAGGACCCTGAACCAGATCAATACATATGCTGACATGAAAACTAAGACAGATGCTGAGACAGCTTGGGTAAGAAAGTTCTTATAGCTGGGCATGGTGGTACATGCCTGTAATCCCAGCACTCAGGAAACAGAGGCAAGTGGATCTCTGTGAGATCAAAGACAGAGAGAGAGAGAGAGAGAGAGAGAGAGAGAGAGGAGAGAGAGAGAGAGAGAGAGAGAGAGAGAGAGAGAGAGAGATCCAAGCTAACTGTGCTACAGGAAGACCCTGTCTCAAAAAGACACCCCCCCACACACACAGAGGAAGTTCTTGCTGGTGACTAGTTTTCTACCCATCCCCATAAAGACAAAAAGCATATATCTTGTCACTCTTACTGCCTTTCATATTGTGTGAATGAAGGTCAAAGGTTCATGGTATGTTCATGAGAAAGCAAAGATAGATGCCTATGCTCCCAGCAACATGTGCCTGAGTGAGTCCACAATGTGGCTTCTGGGTACAAGTGGCCCTGCTTTGGCCAGTCATCATCACCAGCCAAGGCCCTTGGAGGTACCTGGTCAGGGCAAACCCAGCCTACAGCACTTAGTCACAGAGTATAGATAATGCCATGTAGACAGGAAGGAACATTACCTGTCATGACGCAGTGCCCTCATGTCCACATAGACAGTTGTTGGGTCTGGGCCTGCTGTGCCCTGGAAGGAGAACAACAAAGGAAATTCTTTCAGGACCCTGTGCCACACTTGGTTTCACACGCATGACTTGCCCAGGCTGTCTATGACGCCTGAAACAGAAGCTGTGCATCTTGCAATCAGTCTGCTAAAGAGCTCAGGATACCCCTGGCAGAGCTGAAGCTGTCCATCCAAACATCTACATGGCTAGGTAATATTAAGCAAAACATCCAGTAATACTGAATGGAAACATCAAATTCTGATATTTTCATGTCAAGTTTAATAATTTTCTATCCCCACTAGCCTTTACTGTGATGAAGCACCACTGCATATTCAGGACATTTCCAATGCAGTATCAAGTCAGGGCCTGGCTTCTCACTTACTCTGCTAGGGACTAAGCATACAGAGACTCACTAAGATGAGCCATAAGACTTGGCTCTCATTCTGGCTTTTAAGTCATACATTTGACACTGGTTTGCTATTTAACAGGTTTTTAAAACAACGTGTGTGTGTGTGTGTGTGTGTGTGTGTGTGTGTGTGTGTGTGCGCGTGTGATGTGAAGGTCAGAGGACAACTTGAAGGAGTCAGTTGTTTTCTACCACATGGATCCTGGGGATTGAACTCAGGTCATCAGGCTTGGCAGCAAGTACCTTAACCTGCTGAGCCATCTCACTGGCCTAGTATTGCCATTTTATTGCCTGTTATTGCCATCAAATTAAAAGGACATCCTCGTCAACAGCATTCCCTGAAGACTCCAAAAATAGCTACTCACTAGTCTCTGAAGAATTTCTTTTACATATGGTTACAAAGGAGCTTTTATAAGGTCAAATAATTTTCACTGGGAAAAAATCTAAAATAATCAAAGAAACATGTATTCTGGAATTCACTAGAAATAACATAAACTCATGGGGTGGAAGAATGGGGAAGGGGGCAGGGGGAGACACACAGGATGATGGACACAGAGGCCCCAGCAAGAATGAGGGCTAGGGTAAGGTCCTACCTGCTCAGCTAGTTTTCCCAGCCTGTTGGGCTGACAGAGGCCAGGGCGGCCAGCAGAGGGACACAGGGAGGAAACAGCACGGGAAACAAACAGAAGGCCACGGGGCCACATGAGAAACACAGTGAGAGAGAAAACCAAATCACTGTATCTTAAAGAGCAAACACAGATATATATTAGAAGTTCTGCCATCACACATGGCACTCATATGCTGACAAACAAGACCAATGCCCTCCCACGTTCAGCAAGGGGGGAACAGCTTCAGAGTAAGAATCAGGACTTTCTTGACTTATAGCCACCACCTGCACATCAATCACAGTGGGGGCATCAAGCCAGGGCCCCCTAGTCTCTTCTGGCTACACAAGGGTATGAGATTTAGAGCAGTTTACAGAGTTTTTTCAGGCACATCAGCAAAACGAGGTGAGAAGCAGATAATGCCTTTTTAACAGTTGTAGCTAAGACCTGCCCTGCACATGTGGCCATGAAGAGAACGGAGTGTGTGCTAACCAAAAGCTTTGGGAATCCAGAAAAGGTATGTTGTACTAAATGAGTAAGGCATTTGATAAACAGGACATCTGATCAGTATTTGGCTTTAAGATATGCTTAGGAAGAAGTGAAATAGAGAGACTAGTGCAAACAGAAAAAAGCAATAGCCACTGAAGAAGCCCTATGACGTTCATGTCAATTCTCAAACTCGTTTAGACGTTAGTTGCTGTGCAAAACTAATTGGGTCAACACAAATTATTACCTTTATTAATGTCCCAATTTAAAATTATGATAAATTTTTATTTGTTTGTTTGAGATAGGGTCTTACTATGTAGCCCTGGATGACCTGGAACTAGCTATGTAGACCAGACTAGCCTCAAACTCACAGAGATACACATGCCTCTGTCTCCTTAGTGCTGAGATTAAAGTGTGAGCCATCATGCCCAGCTAATTACTATAGATTCCTTAAAATAGCAAGTTCAATCTTGCTTTTTTAAGATTACCGACACATTACATCCAACTTAGAAATGCTCACAGGTACAATAGTCACTGCTAAAAATAATCTTTTTCTTCCAAATATCCCTGTTTACCAACAGGAATAGAATTTCTTTCTAAACAAAGCCCTCCTAGTCCTCAAAACTGAATGGCTATGTGGAAAATATTCACAACTCAGAGGTGGAGAAACAACACAGAGCTGTGTACTGTTTTCAGTCTGTGAACATGTTAGTCTCTACTGCACGTGCCAGTAATCCTGGGTGCAGACACCTTACCTGGAGGCAGATGGCCACATTGACCCTGCACCCAAAGGTAGTGCTCACAGCACGTGCAGGGAGGCCCAGGTCCTTGAATAGCTTGGAAAATGACTGCGTCAATGCGATCCGGGGCCGTTCCTCAGCCACTACCATGCATGTGCGCACACATGACAGGTTTACCCCTTTCATCTGCAGAAGAGCAAGGAGTCATTCCACCACATCACACATGGTCTGGAACCCTCAGCACTAACCATCAAGGAAGTTTCTGGGTGAGATTCATATGGAGTTTGGCTGTAGATTTGAGTGCACAAAGGTGAGTGTGAACACAAACCTGTCTTCTCCACTTCTGCCTTGGTCTGGGGAATTCTAAGCACAAAAGCACTGGTGAGCACCCTAAAGTGGCCTATTGGCTGTCCTGCCCCCTCACATACCCTTTTCTCCACTGGGTGAATAGCAGGGGAAGAGACCCTGGAAAAGACATATTTGCTCTGCAGCCACCATGGCCAAGGAGCTCCAGCCTAGTACTCACCCTGAGGGCACTTGTCTGTGCACCCAGGCCCTTAGTGCACATCTCCATCACTGAGTAGGAACAGAAGGTAACACGGGCCTTATACTGGCTGACAGCTGACAGCCACAGGGACACATTGCTCTCCAGCTCCAGCGGGGGCACCAACACTGACTGGTGTCCAGAGTAGACGCTGCGAGGGGAAACATAGTTGGAAAGGAGCCAGTGTACCAGGCACTGGGCACACGTGTTCCTTCCTCAAGTATATCAATTCTCCAGACAAAATGGGCACAAGTCTGTATTAAAGTCCTGCAGGAGTTCAGTAGAAACACTAGAGGTCTGGCTTCTACTCAAACACTTTAGAAGCATCACAAACACTGTATGAAGGAGGCCTCCTACTTGCAGAGGTAGACCACCATTTTTTAGCATTAGAAGGAAACTAATAGGTTCTTCCCAACTACTAATAATGGACACTGTTTGTATTTAATGAAAAAAATGTATTTAAATTTTTTAAATTTGATGTTTGTTATTGTGTATGTGTGCGCGCGTATTATGTATGTGTGGAGGCATGTGTGCCATGGTGCATGTGTGTAGGTCAGAAGACAACCTTGTACAGTCATTTCTCTCCTACCTTTACATGGGTTTCAAAGATTGAATTCAGGTCATTATGTTTTCACAGTAAACACCTTTATCTGCTGAGCCACCTTGCTCGACCCTATTTTTACTTTATTCAGTTATGGGCCCAGATATTAACCACCTCATCCCCAAACAAACCCATTCACATTTCTTGGCTTTCTAGACAATCAGAAAGCCACCTTAGGGCTTTAAGCTCTAAGGAATCATACAAGCCGCATAGGCCCCAGGGGCAGTAGGTGCCTGCCCTCACCTGCATAGACACCACAGTGCAAAGCCGAGGCCACAGTAGGGGTCCAGGCAGATGGCAATCTGCCGTGAGGGGTACAGCTCACACTGCAGCTTTATGGAGCGGCACAAGGCACTTGTGGCTGCATGTGACATCTGCAGGAGTGAAGAAAAGGCCTGCTCAGGGCTGTGAAGGAAGAGAGGGTTAGCGGCCATGTCTGCTGTACACCATGGCTGGTTGGGCATGCAGCTCCATAGCACCAAGCAGCAAGCTACTTTCTAAGACAATGGTTGATTCACATTCCCACAGAACATGAATAACACCCACAAATAAGGCACACAGAAGCCTCTGAAACAAGATTCTAGGACAACAAAGCACTCTAACTCCACTCTTAACTCCCATTAAATAAACTCTGCCAAATCACCTCAGTCTAAGGGTCAGATATCACTACAAATAGCAAAATATGTACTTTTCTTTAGGAAATTTAACTTTGGGGTCCATTCATTTTTTTAAAAAATTTTTATTTTATGTGTATGAGTGTTTTGCCTGAATGTAAATAAGTGCATCTATGTCATGCAATGTCCACAGAGGTCAGAAAAGGCACTGGATCTCCTAGAACTTAAGTTATGGATGGTTGTTAGCCACCATGTAGGCACTGAGAACCAAACCTAGGTCCTCTGCAAGAGCAGTCACTGCTTTTAACCATTAAGCCATCTCTCCAGTCCCAGTTCATCAGTATTTTAACACAAATTGTAATAAACAATATTGTTGCTTTATGCTTTGGATAAGAAGCATCTGCCTAAAGCCACACTCACATCCTTCCTCCTCACATCCTTCCTGCCCACTCCCTCAGTGCTCCCAGGGGTTGAAGCCAACAGGAACTCATGAGGGCCTACCTTTACTCCGGCTAATATCCCCGTGGTCGACACACTGAAGTCCAAGTATGCAAGCACATCTGGGGAAGGTGGTCTGAAAATACTAGCTAACTTCTTTTTTGGAATGTCATCTGTTAAACAGGAGACACCAGTGACTTTAATGTCATATATACTGTACAAGTAAAAGCTTCAACATCCCCAGGTAAGAGATGAGGTGTGATTTTGCAGTTCAAAGCTGCCACAGAAGTCAGGCTGTCAGAGAGCAGGGTGTATGTGCTGCTTACATATGGGAAAGCTCAATCTTCCAGAAGAGATCACTAGTGCAGGCTCACCAAGCCTGCACTGTGGGTATAGAGATGGAATGGTAGCACAGTAAGAGAACAGGAGGGGAAGTTGACTCACTTCTAAATGAGAAAGGTCAGAGTACTGAGAATGTGCCACAAGAGCAGTCATGTGAACTTCTGGGATTTGTATGCTTTAAGTTCCTATAAGTCTGGCGTAAACACTGCTGCTGTCTGCTGTGCAAATGGGCACAGGATCAACAAGGGCAGGACTGAGCCCTTGAGTCTTGGCTAGTAGTATGCTCAGAGTCTGAACTTTGGCCTAACACTAGCTCCCCATGCCTACCACAATATCAGGAAGGTGGCTAGATTACATAGTCCCTGGCTTCTGCACAAGGCACAGCTCTGGAATGCAAAAGTGTGATGGGGAAGGAGAGGCTCATGCCACTCGGTAGCCAGTATTCAGTCCCTAGTGCTGCTGGTAGTCTGCTAGGTTGGGTGGTCTCCATCTGGACAGCAAAGCTGCTCTGACTTATCAACCAAGACACAGCTTCTTCTCAGTTGGAGCAAAGGCATCTCATGGGTCATGACAGCATTTACCAATGATGGTGACAGGGATACTGGGGGGTGCACAGTAAAAACTGTGCCTTCAAACTATCAACAAAAACCTGAAGACAACTGCTAGCATACTGTGTGAGCAAGAGGTAGTGAAGAACAAAAATTTTAGTCTCTAATTCATAGGTACAGGGACTCCTGATGGTGGGCGCAGAAAGAAGACCTCATACCTGAGACAGGGACCCAGAACATGTAACAGTAGTGCCTAGTGTACCATTCACACTGTACCTGTTCTATCAACCTTCTTGCCATTCACATAAGCCGAACCATTTTGTTTATTTTTTTGCATGGCAACAATGTAACTCACAACAACAACAACAATAACAATAACAACAAGAGAAGGTCTAGTAGAAAGAAAACAAGTTTGTCCTGGCAGGGAAGCTGCTGAGGACACATACCTGTATCTAGGATGGTTGGCCAGGTCCTGACATCTACAGCAGCAGCTGCTTCCTTGGACTTGAGCAGCCGTGTGATGGCCTGTGTGCTAAGGACACATGCAGACTTGCTGACCTATATATATATATATCACAGGGAAGCAAGAAGCCAAGTGAGCTGTAAGCCTAGCCACTCACCTGCACACCACCCTGAAGAGGAATGAAGACCATGCATGAGGAGGGGCTCATGACTTCCCACCAGAGAGGACCTGGCACACCAGTAGTGAGCATACCTCTACAATCATCTTCACAGTAGGCAGTGTGGTGCCAAGGTTCTGTGGGTGTGGGGGTCGTACAGTGACAGGCACACAACCACAGTACAGGCAGCCATAGAATGCAGCAATGAGGTCAACCCCTGGGGAGATAGGGAAGGTGGTCAGCTCAGAGTGTGGATAGTCAACATCAGGCCCAACGAGGACAGCCTAGAACATTGTCCTCAGAGAAAAAAGCAACAAGCAACCATGGTTTCTTTTTGATATAGCCACCACTGACTTCAAACTGATAAGGTATTTACCAAACCCAGCACTAATAGCATGTACAAAAAAGAAAGTATCCCTCATACCCTAGAGGGCTGGATGGCAGGAGGGGCCACCACTATGTGGGGCTGAGGAGTCACAGGAGTCCCATGTACTGAAAGAGGGAGACCCTTGCCCTCTGCAGCAATAGATTCTTGGCCCACCAGACCCAGGTGGAAGAACTGAACAAGTGCTAGAGGGCCTGAACAAGTCTGTACAACAGACCTCAGAAGACAACCTTTGAGACAAGCTGGCTGCAGTGGAGGTTCCCAAGGCACCACACTAGGAGGAGTCACACCTCCAGATACCTACAAAAACTGTAAACTGTAGTCTATCCTAAATTGTGCTAAAATGTATCAGAAAATGATATTAACAGAAATTTGAATTTTACAGAAATGGGGCCTGGAGAGATAGCTCAGCTGTTAAGAGCACTGACTGCTCTTGCAGAGGACCCTGGCTCGATTCCCAGAACCCACATAGCAGCTATGAACCATCCTTAACTCCAGTTCCAGGGGAATCCGAAGCCCTCTTCTGACCTCCACAGCATTCAGCATTGCACAACATGGGTGCACTCACACACATGCGGGCAACACACTCATACACATAAAATAAAAATAAATAAAATATTTTTAAAAGTCAGAAGAAGAAATAGAAAAATTAAAAACATTTCAAAATGAAGATGCAGCTTGAAGGAGCAGAAGGCAACAGATAAAGTCTTAAGATAACAAATAACATTTAAAACTTTAAACTGAATGAGAAAAAGGCAACAGAAGAATAAATGGCAGTCACTGTAGACAGAGACACACACAGGAAAGGAACAGACGTATACCAAGAAAAGCAGAGGGGAGCACAGTAGGAAAATGATAATTCAAGAAACTTTATTGAATTAAACAAAAGATATGAAGACTCACATTCAAAAGACCCTGGACATGAAACTGCTAAGCCAGAACAACCAAGATTAATACTGTAACATATTAGACTTTGAAGAAAGAGAAAAATATGTATTTGTCACCAAGGTAAACTGAACAAGTGGCACCCAAGAGGGAAATTAGACTGTTGTCAGATCAATGGACAGCATCATATTTATAATGTTAAAAATGGAGCAAAAGTTCAAGGTGTGTAGGGAAAGATAACTTAAACCAAGGGTTTTCTGCATAGCATAAGTGAGCATTGTTCCTACAAGGCTCCCTAAAGAATCCACAAGGGAAGGAGATTCAGAAGATAACTTCCCAGGCACAGAGCACAGGCATGGCTAAGTACGGAACTATAATATGGAACCATGTGAAGGGAGTATGAAGTTGCTGCCCTCTGAGAATAACACCTACCACAGCCATATAAGAAGGGGAAGGCAGAAGGGAGAGAGAGAGAGAGAGAGAGAGAGAGAGAGAGAGAGAGAGAGAGTGAGTAGAGAGAGAGAGAGAGAGAGAGAGAGAGAGAGAGAGAGAGATTGATTTGTCCCACACATGCCAGGTTCTGGATTCAATCCCTAGTACCATGAAAAATGGAATAAACAGGACAAAGGCTTCAACTTTTTCTTAAAAGTCATAGAAGTGGTTGAGGCACTGTCATCATGAGAATGAAACATCTTGAGAATGTTTCATGTAATGTGGGAAACAGTAAATGTGTAACCACAGGACATTCCAATCCTGCTATTTGTTCTGAAGATTCAGGGGTCCTGGTGTGGGAAAGAGGAGTTTAGTAAATTCTGAACTTCACTTGGAGGGGACTGTGTGAATCAGGAGCTATGAATGTCTGAAACAGAACAATGCTTCAAATATAGTTCTGCTCACAGCAGCCAATGTGTCCTCTCTCCAAACCCTCCCTTGTTCTGAGACCTTGTACCTGGAGGATTGACAGATTCTAACTCTACAGTAAGAAGCACAGGATGAGCCCAAGCACCTGCAATCCTAATGGCAAGGGAGCCATCAGACCACTAAGAACAGAGGTTCCGTTCAGAGGACTCATGATGGCAGCAGCAGCACAAGAGAAGAGAGGAGCTGAACATAGTTTCAGAAGGTCAAGGAGTCTCAGGTGTGCATTTACCTGGAGGATAGACCAAAGCCACGTGGTCCCCAGCATCTAGTCGCCCCTTCTCCACTAGGGCAGCAGCCACTCTCTCGGCCCTTTTGTGTAGCTGGATACAGGTTGCAGTGCTGGTGACTGTGCCCTGTGAAGGCAATCAAGTTCACGTGTGCTGATATGTACAGACAGAAGAGAGTCTATCCTAGGACCTGTATGCATGCTAGACTCCCGTGATCAGGAACCAGAGGTTGTCAGTCCTGAATTAACACAGAGTCTGCCAGATGCCTACAGTGGAGGGTTGGGCACCTGTAAGTAGTCCAACCTGAGCCTGAAGGGATAGGTACTTCACTTATACCTAATAGACCCAGAGACCATGATTAGAGAAAAACTTTTGGCCTTTCTTACGAATACCCAGGCTCTTGTTATCTAATGATATCTTGCAGCGTTTCTTTCCCTTTGTTTGAAACTACCCCTCCAGCTCACTTCTCATTCTCCAGAGCAACTGTTGTTAAACTGCAGGTAATATACCATTAAATAAATAGTAAACAATAAATAAACCACTCTGTGTGCTTCTTGCATGCATCAAATGACTTCTGCAACCTGTTTATTCAAGGTGCCTGTGCAGTGTCTGTTCTGCCACAGCAGCAGGTTGTTCTATCCAGTCTCTGCTGAGAGCATCTGGGTCCTGAGCTACTTGGTGTGCACAGACAACCTAGTACTCACCCCTGCCATCAACTATTCTGACCCTGGGATAGGTGGGTCACACAGTTTTTTCAGTCTTTTTTTTTAAAAATAAGAAATGAAACTCAACATAGTAATCATCAACTCCAGGAATGATCAGTGTGACATCAAAAATCTCCACTTCTTAGTTGGTGACATCTACTGATAGCAGATAGTGCAAAGAAACCCATAAATGAACCAGTCCTTTGTCCCCAGGAAAAAGTCAGCTCCCCAGAGTCCACACACCAGCGTCCTGCTAGACCACAGAGGGTTAGGTCCCCAGGACAGGGTCCACAGACTGACAGGGCTACTGGGTTTAGACAGTAGGGGCATTGCCACAGGCTCCTCCCAGATCAAAGGGCAACATATCCTCAGGGACCCACTCACACTCCACACTTGGAGAAGGCAGATAAACCAAGAAAAACGTGGAAGGTGAAGAGGCTTCTGAACAAAGGCCTACAGGTGGATTTGGAGATGGTCAGGTCTTATCTGGGCCTAATGGTTCCACAGAACTTTCCCATCTCCAGAACTTAGTAAGCCTGGTCAGTGTCCTTGTTTATCCTCATTCTGTGTCTTTCTTACCTCTCATGAACACTCCATCCACTGAGGCCCCAACTGGCAGCTCAGAGTCAGCTTTCACATATACAGGCAGGATGCCTCAGGTCCTAAAGATCTTACCTTTAACCACATGCCATGCTTGCCTAGGCCCCTGCTCTAATGCTATCTGAGCTATAAGACTCCCTACCCACAACCCCACCCTGTTCATGGCTTCCAAACTCACTCTTATAATCGAAAGAAATTACCCATTACTGTGAGCCATACCATGTGCCCAGCCATCTAAACTGGTCTAGGTATCTCTTTCCATCCTTGAGCTAAAAGCCAGAACACCCCTGGGACCCATCTCCATGCTGCATCCTTTCTTCTAGTAAGGCTTTCCTAAGTTGAGCCCGTAGGACATCATCCTCTCATCCCTGCCCAGAGCCCCAGCTCTAGTAGGCTCACTTCTCTCTGCTCTACTGATCTAGAGGTTCTTCTCACAAGCTAACTACATCTTTGTTGATGGTCAATCATTAGCTGCCAACATGACTTAGATGGATGTTTACACTGAGCTACACCAGGAAGCAAGATAGCCTCTCTCCTAAAGGACTTGATGTCTAACAGAGAAGACTTTCTATTGTTCAAACACACTTGGCATCAATAAACATCTCTGAGTGACCTGGGTGTGGAAGGAGATGGAGAGTTCAAAGCCAGCATAGGATTAAAGAAAAAGAAAAAAGGGACCAGAGAGATAGCTCAGCAGTTAAGAGCACTTTCTGCTCTTAGAGAGACTCTGTGTTTGATTCCCAGCACCCATGGGGTCACAGTCTGTAACTCCAGTTCCAGGGGCTCTGGCGCCCTCTTCTGGTCTCCATGGGCACTGTACACATATAGTGTACATACACACATGCAGGTAAATACTTACACACATAAAAGAAGAAATCTGAATGAGCGAGGAATATCGAGAACTAGGTTGCAGTTTTAAGGCCCTTCATGTAGCAAAGATCAAGAGTTCTTACAACCTATTTGATGTAGCTGGCAGGAAGTCACATAGGGGATCATGTTTTCATATCTGTGTTTCTAAATTCATTCAATGTGGTTATAGTATCTCCTTTAGATCCTGAGCATTCCTAGTACAGTGTGAAGTACTAACAGGTATTCAGAACACATAAGTAGGAATTTTTCAATCACAAAGAAGTAGGTTGGGGCAGCAAATAGTGTTTGTCATTTCAAAGATGCAAGCAAATGCAGAGTCTAGATGCATAAGTTATGCCACACAAACATTTCCTTTTAGCTCACAAGCCTGGGAGTATTTATGCAAATAAAGTTCCTAATGAAAAATAGAGGTGATAAGAATTTTACAACTAAAAACAAAATCAGTAGAGAGACTATGGTATGAACTGCTCAAAGCACTGGTCTCTACAAGAAAAGCTGCAGGCAGAAAGAACAATGCCAGAAAAGGGGCCAAGGCCTAAAAGCATTCTATTCTCTGAGTATAAAAGTAATGAGGCTGGGCGTGGTGGATCTCTGTGAGTTCAAGGCCAGTCTGGTCTACATAGTGAGTTCCAGGATAGCTGGGGCTACAGGGAGACCCTGTCTCAAAAAGACCCTCCCCCCCAAAAAATTAATGAGAACATAGAAATTACAAATTAGAGAGGCTCCAGGAGTCCTGAGCTGGGGGCAGCAGCCCTGCTCTCACCTTGGCGTTGAGCAGCAGGAACAGTGGGTGATCAGGAGTGGTATGAGCCCGCCATTGCAGCACATCTGCCAGGAACAGGAACTGCGTAGAGAGGGGATGGTTCAGTGCCTACACTGCATCCTGTAGCTCCAGGCTGCCTCCCTGAGGAGCTGCCCATTACCTTCCGTGCCTGGTCACTATCCTCTAGGTGGGTCAGCTCTCTCCCAGAGGCCTGAGCAATTCTCTTTCCAGCAACCAGGTTCCCAACGATCATTGAGGCTGGTCCAACCTCTACAAACAATGAGAAGTAGGTAACTTCTAATCCAGAACTGTCACATGACTCTACTTATATCACACTTGTTATTTTGAAACATGCCTGAATTAGATATTTAACTCTTTTCCTAAAAAATATTCAGAAAACCAGTCACAAGGTTTATACCATAAACCATACAATGGGATGTTAGCCAATTTTTAAATATATTTTATTGCTTTACTATATTTCATGTATAAATTAGAAAATAAATTTTGAAATATGCTATATTTAGTGATATTTTATGTGTTCAATAATCAGCAAAAAGTTAGTTTGTCCTAAATATTTATATAACCAAAGCAATGACAAGCTGAATATAATAGCTAAACTGGTCTTTCAATTTATTTTTGTGTGAAATCAGAAACAGGAAATTGACCACTGAGAGACTTCTAAGGTTCCAGTAACCCAGTGGCTACGAGAGGTTCCTTAGATTCCAGAGCCCATGTCTGATATGGATATCATTTCTACCTCCAAGGAGCCATTCTTGAATTTACCATTAAAATTGGTTCCTAACAGGAAGAGAGAAACCACCAGGCAGGTGTACTGGCAATATCCCCTTTTGTGTACCAGGAGCTGGTGCATATACCTGCTCTGATCCTTAACCCCAGTCCCAAAGAGGTGGGTACTTACCACTGCAAGATCCAGTGTGGCTGTACTCCTAGCCACGGTTGTAAGCACCATCAATTTTAAGTCAGACCATCCTGTTGTTTTAGGTTCAACTAACCTGGCTGCTTCTGACGAGGTTTGGGAAGGTTGGTAACACAGGTATGAGGGCACATCAACACATTGCATGGATGTAGCATCCCTTCCAGAAAGCGCTGCTTGGTTTCGGAAATGTGAATCCCTCCAAGAGGAGCCTTGGGCAAGGTGTTGGCAGGAACCAGGGCCAAACAGTACACACCCACCTGGTGGATGCTATCAATGGCCTGGAAGGCAAGGACTCTGCTAAGCACATACTGCCAACCCAGGGTGGGGAGAGCTAGAAGAAGATACCACACAGGACAGAAAACTGAAGTGCAGAGGTCCAGGAGATGGAGTGACCTTTGAAATGTCTTATTAAGTAGAGAAGATGTAAGGTGTACACGTTTCTACCATTTAACTAAGAAAAGAGACACAAACAACTTACGCACACATACATAAAAACAGAAAAGGTATAGAGTATGCATGTTTCTACCATTTAAGAAAAGAGAAACACACATGCAATTCACACACACACACACACACACATCCTGCATACACATATACACAAGTTTCTAACTGCTTATGTTAAAAATGCAAAGCTCAGTGGCCACAAAAGCATATTGAGTGGCCTCCAGTTGGGAAGCAGCAATACATGTCTGAACATCTGGAATTTGGAATGATGTTCATATTTCAAATATAATAATTTTAAAGAGTAATTCCTAACAACTATAAGTAAAATAAAGCAAACAGACTCAATCAGAATCCAACCAATAGCACAGTCTCAGAGCTCAATTGATTGTTGCTTTACATAGGCTTGAGAGTTGGTCCCCAGGGAGAGGGACTCAAGGGGAGAGAACTACAAAAATCATGTGAGCTGTTATCAGCTCTCTGCCTGGGGATCAGCATGGAAACCACACCTATGAGATACTGAGGTACAGCAGCCAGAAGTCAATGAGTGATTCTGTCTGGTTGTTGGCAACTATGCTAACAGGAGGCCAATGAGTTAAATTGTCTTGTTTGAATCACAACTCTCAGCATAAATTCAGAAAGTAGACAATCTTATAAACAAGGTAAGAGATTCATTTTCTACTTTGTCACCTGAAAAATGCCAATGTTAATGACTAAGTTTATTAGACAAGCATGCAGACAGTTGCCTCCAATATCCCACCCTGGACTACACAGGGCCAGGTGCCTCTATGTCTCTGACCTTTCTATTTCTGCTGTGGCCTCAGACATCTCAAGCTGTATCAAGGGGCTCCCACTAAACTCTGAAAGATAACAATCACAGCTGTAACATATTGAAACCCAGACAAAACATTTAAACCCATTAGTTCATGATGGAACAAACAAGCCAACTCAAGGGTCACTTCCAGAGGATTCATTACTCTGAAATCAACCCTCCACCATGTTTTCCTGACTGTTCCAGCTAATGAAGAAGGACAAAAGACTCAGAGTCACTACTGCAAAATCAATTGAAGACAGGCACAGTAAAACAAGAGGGCTAACAGAGGGGAACCTTAGGCTCCCTAAGGCATCTTTCCAAGGGAGCGTTGTCCAAAAATTGGCCTACTCCAATCAAACCTCAAGATCCACTGAACAGGAGCCACAGGTACAGAGTCACATGACAAGATACACAAAGGCACTGTCAAGATGCCAAGTTGAAGAGATGCCACTACACAACCTGTTTTCTTTAAAACTGCCACAAAAATTTCAGGGAGGGTCTACAGGCTAAACGAGATTTGTCCCCACAAATCATAATTTCCTTGCTTGGATTGTGTGTCTGTCTAATGAACTAAATAATCAGTAGATAGGTGGGGGAAATTTGAACAGCGATTAGATATTTAATTATAGTCATAAATTAGTATTAACTTTAAAGATGGAGTAATAGTATTTATGGAAGTTCAAAGGGTACATGGAACAGGGTATTGGGAAGGTGGGGCTTCTATATTGTTCTGCTTATACTTGACATATTTGAAATGCTCTATAACAAAATATTTGGAAGCAGAAAAACTAACACTTTGAAGCATGGTCTCTTTGCCTTCCATGGGGTACACATCTCTGATTCCCTTTTAACTATCATTTACAAGCACTATCATGTGCTGAGGACAGTGACCCTCCTGTGAGCCCACCTGTAGCACACGGCTCATCCACTGGAAACTGTCCTCCTCTGAGGCATCAGGCCGCTGTTCAGCCACCAAAACAATCCGGTCATCATGTAGCACGGTCACAGAGAACACAGCAATCCTGAGAGGGGACAAAGACAAAAGTGACTACACAAAAGGAACACATGGGTGTTCTCTGCAAATTCAGGCTACATGAATGTTTTAAAGTTCAGTCTAGTAAAAAAGACTGCTTATTTAAAGTTCATAAAGTGGCCTGTCATTCTAGTTGCCTTGAATAGGGTTAAAATGAGTTTCAACTCACAGAATTAGAGAACTGCAGTGCTAAGCATACAATTTCAAAAGAAAAAAATTCTTAGCTAGCCAAGAATGGAAACAACTTAAAAGTCCCTCAACTGATGAACGGATAATGAAAATGTGGTATATTTACACAGTGGAGTTCTACTCAGAGGTAAGAAAAGATGAAATCATGAAATTTACAGGTAAATGAATGGAACTAGAAACTTATACTAAGTGAAGTAACAAAGATTCAGATAAAAACAAGAGGAGTATGTTCTCCCTCATTTGTGGCTCTTGGTACCAATCCCTTATTTTTTTTAAATTATTTATTTAATAATCACACAATCAGAAGAAGCATTTAATTATAACAGCATTTACATATTCAATAACAATTTCCAGAGCTAAGATGCATCTCCTTCAAAATTGGCTGTAAATTTTTAGGTTTACAGTTGAATTAATACAGTTATACAATATTATACTCAGTATAAATCCTATAAGACGTAAAATTAAATGAGGTTTTAAACTTTTAAAAAAAGACCTCAATTTCACTATTAAAATACACAGTTTCATACAGAAAAATTCATTTTCAATACAATTGACACTAAGATGCACATACATTTCTAATCTCTATATATCTGCCAATCCTTTATTTGTAAGTGTATATATCCTGATATAACGCCAGGAGCCAGGAAAATGGAAATAGAGTAAGGAGGTACAGGGCAAGAAAGGGGGATAGTAGGAAACAGATGTTACCAAGGGGGAAATGAGAAAAATGAGGGTGCTCATTTGGGAAGGGAGGAGGGAAGGACATGCAATGAATCATGGGGGGGGGGGCGGGTAAAGAGAACGAAGGAACTCAAGAGGGGGGATAACAGGAGACAGGTATTATGAAGAGGAAAATGGGGGATACTTTAACTGGGGGGAGAGGAGGGAAGTTAGACAGGGAGAGAGAGAGGAGAGATCAATAAAGTACAGGTGGTGTGAAAGGGAAATGTATTAACTCAAAACCTCCCTGAAAAATACATATACAATATCTGAACATGAGTACATATATATAGCTGAAGGCTATACGACAAGAAACACAATGTCAGACAGGAGAAACCTCCCTTCAATGCTTTTGGTCAGAGTAGTCTAAGAGATTCCCAAAATAACACAGGCTATTGCCACAGCCCTTGATTACCTCCCAGAACTTGAAGGTAAGACCCTGTTGCTGAAGATAAGGCATACTGTGGACACAGGACTTGGAGTAATAGAGTTGGAACTGACCTGGAAGCCCTTTCCCTGAAGACTAGCTCTTATAGCTCTAAAGGATACTATGTAAACTGCTAAGGGAGAAAAATCAATCAATGGTCCAACCCAGCTGCAAAGCCTAATAATCATGCCTGGTACCACAAACTATCTCTATTGGTGCAGTAGTGGCACTTTAATCTAGAGGATAGTGAATAGCTATCTAACTGGACTTAAAGCCCTCTCAATGGGAGGGAACGATGGCACTGTAAACACAGCCAAATACATATGGCTGGAGAGGTCATAGATCCTAGAGAAAACCCTATCTTTGTCCAATCTCTAGACAAATGAAATTTCTTACTGTATGCTAAATATGGATCCTCATATTTACAGACAAGTATACCATACATCACTCATCAAAGAAGCTTCTTTTTGCAACAGATGAAGGCTATTACAGAGTTCCACAGCTGGTCACACACAGAGAATTATGTCTGTGAGATACCCAGCCCTAAGAGACACATCTACAGTGGAACCTCTACACCTAAGGCTCACAGAACATAGCAGAACAGGAGGTAGAATGCTAATACACCCTTCAACTCTCACCAGCGAAACTTCCTCAAACAACAGAGTGTGATGCACACAGAAGGCCACACTGGTCAAGTTTTAGAAAATAAGAGACTGCAGAGTGCTTGTCCATGGATAGGACCCTTATATTAAACCCCACCCACCCATGGCTCAGGGACCATTGCGGAAAAGAAGAGACTAAGATTCAGGGTTGGTGCATGAATATAGGGAAACTAGAGGCTTTCAGTCTTCTGAAAACTTGCAGCAATGGTGACACCATGCACAAGACTTATGCTGACTCAATCAGACAAAAATCCAGCATAGAACTGTGGAAATGGGCAGCAGGCCCCAACCTTAGCAGAGGAACTATTAGCAACCAATTACTACAGGGCAAGGGAAAGTAGATCTTTTTAAAAAAATCTTTTTAAAAGATATAAAAATATTTCATTATTTTTATTTTATGTGTATGTGTGTATTACCTGCATGTAGGTAAGTGCACCCATGTCATGCAATGACCATGGAGGACAGAAGAGGCTGTCGGATCCCCTGGAACTGGAGTTATGGACAGTTGTTAGCTGCCATGTGGGTGCTAGGATTTGAACCTGGGTCTTCTGTAAGAACAGCCAGTGTTCTTAACTGCTGAGCCATCTCTCCAGCCCCGAAAGTAGATCTTTGCTAAGGGAGTGACTCTAAGATAGGCTGACTAGACTCCAGTGGATGAACTTGCACCAATGGACATCTGGTTACAAATGCTTGACTGGATAGGCCTTAACATATATGATAGAATGCATGAAATCTATAGGCCATGGGGGGGAGATAACTATGATTAAGATATATGAAATGCACAAGGACTCAATAAAAATACACATACAAAATTATCAATTTTCTAATGTTAATGTATACAATACATTTCTTTGTGTGCAACTCTTCAACAGTTCTATTTCTCAAACACAAGATCAAATTTTATTAATGCTAATTGTTTTGTTTTTTATTTTTTAAATTATTTATTTAATAACCATAAAATTAGAAGAAGCATTTCATTACAACAGCATTGACATATTCAATAACAATTTCCAGAGCTAAGATGCAT